GGCAGAGGAAGGGGTCGGGGTCGAGGACGAGGCCGTGGACGTGGGCGGGCCAGTGAAAGAGAGACCCTACACCATGAGACTGAATCTGAACCCTGCACATCTCTTCAGCACACCACCAAACCTAATCCAAACCCCGGAATGGTGGTGGATGACGCTTCCGAGTCAAAGGAGGAAATGAAGGAAAATGCTGTTATCCCTGATGAGGCTGATCCTGCAGTTCGAAATTTTGATCTGAATGCTGATGTAATTGAGAATGAGGACACAAAAGCTGCAGTGACAGCCGCCCAAGCAGCGACAGCTGCCCAAGCTTCATCGACAGCTGCCCAAGCTGCAGCAACAGCATCCCAAGCTGCAGCAACAGCAGCCCCGACCTCGTCAGCTGGACCTACTTCTGAGATTAAACATGAAGAATATCCTGGGTGGTCTCTCTCGGATGTGGATAAAATGGCCATTGACCCTCTTCAACTTGCACATTTGAGCGGAAGGATAGACGAGGATGAGGAAGACTATGACGAAGAGGGCTAAATTCCTCTTGATGGCTTATCATCCCAAAGTAGGTTAGTGGGATCAAGATCAATTGGAAGCTGTTGAAGGAAAACTAAATAAAAGTATACAAAAGCTGGAATAGTGACCCAATTGGAGATGACATGGCCTGGCCTATGCACTTGTCCCAATGAAGTTGGAATTTCGTTTCCTGTGAAATGTTAGTATCATAGCATTTGCTAACATCCATTTCCAGAAGGTAGCTTTTCCTAACAATGGCAGAGACGATAGCCTCTGCAGTTTGACTCTTAGAAGTGTATGAAGAATATGGCACCCTTGGATAGCGGTGGATTGCCCTATGAGTGGTTGGCCTTTTTAATTTATTATGCTTTGTTATAGATTCTAGGATAAGTAGCTGTGTTGCTCGTTATCTTGTGGAAGGTAATAGTTCTGTTAGGTCTTCAATTAATCTTCTGACCAGTAAATTGGATTTCTATCTCTTTGCTCCCTTGCTCTAGCTCCCAAAAGAGTCCTACAATGGGTTTGCATGTGAGTTGCTAATGATTTGGTTAATTTCAATGAAAGTGGATGGTGATGGGACAACGGCTGCAATGGTGGCTGATTGAGTGGGAATTCTCCCTTGCTCAAAACTTCTGCAGCCTCAAGCATTGCTTGGTAAATTCATATGAAGTTTCTAACAGGTTCCTTCTCAAATGGGACAAAAACCAACTGCAAAGTTCCTTAAAACCATTTTTTGTTTGGTTTTATACTTGAGAGGAAAAAAAACTGGTAGTGTAAGAAATAATCAGAAACTAATATCTTCTCTCTAGCCAAAACTTTGTCAAAAACGAACGGCATAAAGGAGTACCACACCATACCGCAGATTACACTTCAATTTAAAGGAGGAAGAACCAAAAACTGTTGACAACTAAACAAATCATGAAAGAAAAATATTACAAGAAGGATATTCGTCCTCACAAAAAGGAAACAACCATTATTGCCCTTACACGGTTGAAATGTTAGACAGCATGCCTTCCCTTGTACATAACTTGGGCTACATTATTTCGTCAGCAATTTGAATTAAGCTTTTTGACTCTGTAGCATCATTGTTCGATTGTGTTGATGACGATGTTGTCTCTGAATTCTCTTCATCATTCACCACTGGTTTGTCTTGTGGATAGAGGAAAGGCTTTGGAGACATTTGAAGGGATTCGATTTCTCCTTCAAGCATCTCAACTACTTTGCCCATCGAATTAGGACGCTCGCTAGGCTTCATTTGTATACACCACAAAGCCACTATAAGCATCTTCTTTGTTATTTTCATTTCCTCCTCAGTGGCATCTTCCATGTCTATGTCCTTTCCTTCATTGAATTGGTCATAAACCCATGAAGGAAAGTATATTTGGCTTGAATGAGCTGCAATTGCATTCAGATTCTTTCTTTTTCCTGCTATTTCCATCAACAGCATTCCGAAACTGTAGATGTCAGCTTTGTTTGACACTCCTCCTATATTTTTGTAAAACAACTCTGGAGCTATGTATCCGATGGTTCCTCTCGCTGCAGTCAAAGTTAAACTGCTCTCATCTAATGGACATAATCTTGCAAGCCCAAAGTCAGAAATCTTTGGAACAAAATCCTCGTTAAGAAGAATGTTGTGAGGCTTGATGTCAAAATGAAAAATTTGCATCTCACATCCTTGATGAAGATAGTCAATACCGCGAGCAACTCCAAGTGAAATTTCAAATGATTTCTTGTAATTTAAGGATGAGGGTCCTTCTTTACGAAAGATGTGTTTATCAAGAGATCCATTTGTCATGAACTCGTACACAAGAGCCCGCTTTGATCCCTCAACACAATAGCCAATTAGTTGCACCACATGTACATGATGAATCCTTCCAATGGTAGCAACTTCATTGATAAAATCTTGCCCATTTGTGTTGGACTTACCCAGCATCTTAATTGCTACAAGGCGACCGCTTCGGAGCTTCCCTTTGTATACAGAACCATAACCTCCTTCACCCAATTTTTCCTTAAAACCTTTGGTCATTTTCCTGATATCCGAGTAGGAGTACCTTATTGGCATGAGGTTGTTGTGACTTTGTAAGAATTCTTCAATGAGTCCATACATTGATAAGTGCCTCCTCTTGAATTTGTAGATTAAAAGCACAATGAGACACAGAGCCCCAAGTATAGCTCTTATTCCAAGTGCGGATGCTGTAAAGGAAGTGTCTGAATGAATCATGGAAATACTTTTTGGTGCTACAACCACAATGTATGGAATTGAAATTGGGCTCTATAGATGCTACTAGAGACCAACTGTTTCACAGAGTGAATTTTCTTTCCTGGAAAGAGTAAGTTTTATTCTCTCACATGAAACAGTATAATCATTCTTTTAGCTGTGGATAATCATGCTTCTAGGTATGCAAAAGAAAGAACAAAAGAAATTGAGATGAAACTCACCAATGTAAATAAGGATCGAAGACAAAACTGCAAGAAACAGAACAGAAAACTAATAGTTATAATAGCAAATACAGCTTAGACTGGGAGTTGATTGAATCGTTTTTGAAAGGACCACTGAAGAAATTGAAAGCAATACAAGATTGAGAGTCCTCACCTATTAGATATTTCATGATGCCTGCATCACCGAAGTCACAGTTTTCATCAACTTTGAACTTTAGAATCTTGACATGTTCAAAACAGAATATGCCTACAGTTATGGCACCAGAAAACAAGTGAAGAGATCTTTGATATACTTACCACAATTGGATTTCGAGTTTCCCCAGTAGCAATCAGAAACGCAATTAACTTTGTTGGTATCACTGTCGATGTAGCAAGTAAACTGGCTTAGGTCCCTAATGCTGTAGCTCTTCTGCACGCATGTAAGTTCAAAGCCATAGATCATCTCATTGTGGATGTCTATGTAGGAAATGTTCATGTCGTTTGTACGCAGTGATGATGTCATAAACATAAGCTCTATGCGACAAAACTCCCTAAAATCTGAAGCTTTTATTCGTCCAACACTATAACATATGAATGCCTATTGGAATTGGAACTACTCATAGAACCAATGCAAGGAGCAGTATCCACATAGAGAGTTGAATTCACCAGGGTTTCACAGGTCAAAAATATTATAGGCTTTGACAGTTCAAAATTGTCATGAAAAAGGTCCCTCCATGTACCTCTCAATTGAGAAACCAGATACGGATCCCCATCACTGAAGTTATACATGGACAAGGAATAATGGGGAATTGAAGAGCAGTTATCCTTATGAAGATTGGCATCCACAACTCGGATTGTGTAGTTACTATAATTGATTGCCTGTACATAATATTTTCCAGCATACAAGTATAATACTGTTAGATTGTTCTCACAAGACAACTCATACCTTGAGTCACCGCACTTCTCTGGATCATGTTTTAGTCGGAAAGGGTAGCTTATGTTACGTATTTCGCCACACACCGAAGGTTCACAATGTTTATGATGATCATCCCTGGCATTGCAACCTACACAGCATAAGCCAGGAACTAGGAGAAGGACTATGAAGAATTGTGTTGGAGAAGCTACTCTTCCTGTAGCCATGGGGAGAGAGAGAGAGAGAGAGAGAGAGAGAGAAGGTGGGTCAATTTCATTTGGATAGCCTATATATCAATTAAAGGGCGCTGCTGACCCTCCTGCTCTTCAATTTCAAGCATTCTAACGCTGTTTCTTGTTGAAGCAGTCAAAGAGAAAAACATCAGAAGAGATTCTTACATTAGGTGATTGTGCTGTTGTTGGAAGTCAAAGAAATAAACAGTTATTGCTAAGTCAAGTATGGAGGCTGAACTCATTGATTTGACTTCAGCTAGTGAAATGGAAATCGGTTGAGAGATTTATTGTATGAAATCCCACTTAGGGAGAAACCAACACCACCTTCTTTGATTAATTGTGAATAACAGTTAGGGAAATTCTATATGAACCCCATTATTTGCTATTTAAACCCCATAATTTTTTACACCCCATTAAATTTTAATAAAATTTCAAATTACTCATTATACCCTTTTTTTTCCTTCCTAAATTGCCCTCATGAATCTCATTCCCTAACTCACTGTGTAAACCCCATCCCATATCATACACCACCCATCGAAAACCCCCTTCCCTTTCAGACAATTTGATATCAAGCCCCACCCCATCGAAAATTCCCTACTCTTGCAGACATACCCCATCGCACACCCCATCAGATTTACAACAAGCTCCATCGCACACCCCATCCCCTTTGAAACAGAGCCATCGCACAACCCATCTCTGCAAACCCGAACCCATCTCTGAAACAAAGCCATCACACCCCACAACCAACCCCAAACGCCTCACCCCATTGCAAACCACCATCTCCTCAGCCATCTCAAGCCTCCATCACCAATCTGTCAAGTTTTCACAAATCCTTCGAAGAGCCAAGGTTTGATTTCAAATTTGATTTTTATATTTACGTTTCTAAGTGTTGATTAAGCCTACGTTTGATTTCACTTTTGAAAAGCCAAAGTCTGATTTTAATTTTTGATTTCAACATTGTGGATGTATGGTTCGAACGTGGTTTTACAAAACTGGAATTTAGTTTCGGTGGATTACCACCAAAATGGTTACGTTGCTTCAGTGGTAGTCCACCGAATTTGAACTTGATCTATACTAAAATCAATTTTACTTTCGGTGGGGGTTACCACCGAAATCGTTACCTTGTTTCGGTGTTAGTCCACCAAATTTGTTTCTATTTTTCCAGGAGATTCCCACCGAATGTATTTCGGTTTTTCAGTGGTACTCCACCGAATATGTGTTCTTTTTTCAGTGATAGTCCTGTTTTTCAGTGATCATCTACCGAATACGTTATTGAGTGTGTACTTAATATTGTTTGTTTTTAGATATGAAGAGGACTCGCAGAGGTACTACTGAGCCTTCATCATCTCGACCTAATAGACAACGTCCCATGGCCTCAACGAGGAGACAAAGAGCGGCTCCCCAAGATCACTTTGAGGATACTACAGAGATTGAAGATGTAGCTCCTACTCATGATAGTAATATACTGAACATGATAGTAATTATTTTCAAAGCACAGCAGAAGCAACTTTTTTCAAAAGTGACAGCAATCCCAAACTGGGCCTAAATGTGTAATAGCTAGTTTTATTTCTGTTTTTAGAAACCTACACAGCTATTATTCTTATCCCATTTAGATTGTATTGTGTCATCCGATCTTTCTCCAAGTGGAAAGATCGTAGTCTCCTATGGTCTGTATGGCTGGAGATGAGTCCTTGCTATCTAAAAAATAGGATCTGAATTTTGACTGAGAAAAGGAATATAGTCATGTAATTCCTCTGTGTTTTCAATAGTGAAATATACTGAACATTCAAAATCCTCTGTTTTCTATACTTCTTTCTCTGTGTATATTTCTCCTAAAGGTTTTAGCCTTTTGTTTTTCAACCTAAAATACAAAGTTTGATACCGATTCAACATGGTATCAGAGCTCTGGGTCTGATTCTAGAGAGGGGCGTAAGCTGTGAGAGAGGGCTTTCCTGAAAAAATCCCCAAAAGGGATAAAGGTGGTTCTATTTATTGGTTGGTTCACTGATACTCACTTAGAAAATGGTGGGATCAGGTTCTTCAGGTGGAGATTTACGAACTCCACAGTTTGATGGTGCAAACTACGATTTTTGGGCTGTCAAAATGGAGACTATCCTCATAGCACATGATCTATGGGATGTAGTAAAGGTCGGAGTACAACCTCAGCCGATTCTCAAGGAGGAAGAAGGCTCTGGAGGTGAAGGAAGTGAGGCTGATCAAGTTCCAGTGGAAGCACCCACCATCTCCAGAGAAGACAAAATCAAAACTGCCAAGGCACTGAGTCTTATTCAAGGAGCATTAACTGATGAGCTCTTCCCTAGCATCAGAAATGAAAAGACTGCAAAACACTATGCCAAAAAAGGCCTTTAGCAACGGATAAAATTCGTTGCCTATTACCTATAAATACCGTGGTATTCAATGCGTAAATGATTTCCATGTGCCAAAAAAAATGTTGACTTCTGATGTCTAAACCTAAAACAACATCAATGGCTTTAAAATGGAGGAGGCTAAAGAGATATTACAGCATCAGTGATATCACCTATACTGATGCGTATTATCAATTACAACATCGTAGAAACAAATAGTGCTGTTGCGAATTATGTTATACGTCATCGCTTTTTCTATTTTGCGGACATGAAAAGCCTCCAATTGCCTTGGTTGTTATGTAAATGCTGATGCTACTTCTAATTTTAGGCATCAGTGATCATAGATGTATGGTGGTTGTTTTAATATTTTAACTTCAGTTATTTTTGCAAAATTGAAGTTGTTATAAACAATAGGCATCACTTATGTAAGGAAAGTGTAGGCATTTTGCATGTTCCACTTCACACTTTACTTGGTTACTATCCTAGAATAATAAAAAAAGGCATCATTTCCAAATCACGTTGTGTTCCCATTGCTCATAAAAAACATAAATAAATAGTAATTTAAATATATCCATACTTGTCTCTATATATAATCAAAATACTTGAAAGATCCATACTTATCACATCCAAATCACAATTTTTCCAACCTGACACCACAAATTATCCATACTTGTCTACATTTATGCAAAATACTAGCTAAAAAGACATGAAAAATGAAGGAGGAATGTTTAGTTCAATCAAAAGGCCATTATAGGACATGAGTTGCCAATTCTTCTCGCACCTCATCCAATTCCATTTGGGTGTACGTGTCCTTTCGTCTAGCTCTATGTGTAACACCCCGACTCCAAATTTATTCCTATTTTAATTAAATTAAGAGAATTATTAATTTACTCTTGGGTTAAGGGTAATTTTAGTCATTTTCTTATCCAGAAGGATTTTGGGACCACGAGTGGTTCGGTTGCGTAGGTGGTACTGAGACGAAACCGTAGACAGGCGGTAGGCTTGAATCGGGGATTTAATGAAGATTTGGCGATCA